AATGATAAGAGAACAAAAGCTCATGTCCAATCATGGGAAAACTTGAGAGCTTAAGGTAAGTTTTCTTCTTTATTTGAATTTCGTTTGTCTTGAAATTTTGACGATGATTTTTGAGTTATGTGAGGGATATTTTTAAGGTTATATATTGCTTAAAAAAATCCCAAAATTCTACTAAATATTTGAGAGAAATCTTAGAAACTAAACCGGGTCTCTACGGGAGTTAAAGTAGCGTGTTTTACGAGTTATTTAGTTTTGAGTTTCTTTTCATCGAAATTAATTTACCTATAATGAGGAAAAAATTTAGTGTTAAATGATGATGATTCTACGGGGAGATGTTGCCAAAATTTTGGTAGGAAATTAATAAAAATATAAAGGGAGACTTTGCTCGAGTGAAAAGAGAAAATTGAAGTATTTTTAAGGGAAGACTCTGACATAGTGACTAGAGAAAATTGAGAAAATATTGGGGGAGACTCTATCAGAATAGAGAAAGCTTAAATTGATTGCAGTGGGCTTGAGGTAAGTGGATATTTTTATTATATGGCCTAAGTAGTTTTCAAGTGTTTCATCGATGTTTTATACGTATTTTCGTATATCAAGTGCAAGTATTTTTGTGAAAGTGCTATTATGTTTTGAGTGTTATTTTCCCATGAGTTTTGAAAAGTGATTTTGATATGTGTGCATCATTTATTATCGAGGTGAGCCATTCTGAAAGCACATGCATGATGCTAAGCTTTAGTGTACCCCTACAAAACCGTTCCGTTTTCAGGAGTAGTAGGAAAGTGATCTGTGTGAACCCATACATAACCGTTCCATTTTCAGGTGTATGGGAAAGTGTTAAGTATTAAGTCTGTGCCTATGTATGCATGGCAGTATGAAGATGTGAATGGCCCTCCATAACGGTGATGAAGTGGAGCTCATTGTACAATATAGAGAAGTGCATCTATTCTCTTATTCTAGGACATGTTGCTCGTTGTACAATGTGGTGCACCGTACCTGCTGAGTGATCTAGTACATGTGAGAGTGTAACTCATTGTACAATGTAGTAATGTGTTTTCTAAATTGTGATTCTGATTTTAATTTTCAACTATGCATCTATTTTCTATGAGAGTAAATATGTTTTCTAGAAAAGTATATAAGATATATATAAGTTTTAATGTATGTGAAAGCTATATATATTATATGTATTAGTTGTGTTGTCATAATATCTGCTTATTGGGATAATGTATCTCACTCTCCCATCATTTTCAGATAATGAATATTCTATTGCAGAATAATATGTGATACGAAAGAGAAGTTGAAAAGTTAGACTCTGAGATCAGGTTACCAGTTTGTACTTTTGTGTTGTAAGAAAAGAAATATTTTAAAGTCTCTCGTATATGTATCTAATATACATATTTCAAGGGGTGTAATCTTTTGCATACTCTGTATATTAATGAAAGTTAATTTTTTTTATTTAATTAAGTGAAAAGTGTAAGTGTGCTCCAGACATGCCCCAGAAGAAGAGGGAGCAGGCCGCAACACTATCCATAGGTGGATGGAAGCCCTTCCATATGTGGTTGGGATGTCTGTTCTGTTTTGGGTCACCTTGCGATGGACTGCTATGATCAATTTGCATATTTTATTTGTGTACATCATCTTGTGATAGTGGGATCCTGATCCCACAAAGCTATTAATTATGTAACAAATACGTCCGTTCAATATAAAAAAAAACTCTAAAATTTTGATAACTTTGATTTGGTGATTGGATTGGGGCAAATAGAGAATCAAGGATACTTGTGTGGGGTTACAAATGTCTCAATTTGGCTGAAAATTTATCGGACTTCTAGTATGTTGATTTAAAGGAAACATTTATCTTAGGAAGAATCCGAGGGATAAAATGAACCTAAAGGGATGTGGAGGGATATATTGAAGGGGGACTTTTGAGGGATAAAATGTGATTTAGGGGGATTTATAAGGATAGGTTGAATTTAGGAGAATTTTATGGGATAAATTGATAGGTGGATAATGAGGGATAAAATATGATAAAATTAGAATATAAGAGTAAATTAGTAAGGAAAAGGGGAAGCTTAGAAATTTATGAAATTACATTGGTCTTCATAGTTTTTAAATAAAAAGGAAAAGAAATGTTTTACATCTATGAAGGCCTATATGATTTGTATAAAAATATATACATTAGATATATAATGTCTATACATATACAAGTGGATAAGACTAATTAAATTTTGTTAAATATCAAAGAAATATGTATATGGATAGTATTAATGAATAAAAATCTACATAATTATTTATCCCTTGTATAATTGTAACATCAAATTGTAATACATGAGGCAACAAAATCCTGTAGATTCAAAACAAAATGCATACATTACCCGTACAAAGCAGAATATGGAAATTCTTATTTGGGCACTAATATCCATCTTCTTGATCTAAAAAGATTAGAATTTGAATGGGA